CTGGCTTATTTGACATGCATTGTCTAGAAACAACATAATGACAACTGCTGTAAGCAGTGCTTAAAGAGGTAAGAGATATATTTGGTACCTGTTAGTAAAATACAACCAAAGAACGGCGGCTGAGCTCCTACTGTTAAGATTCTGCTGAATGTTTTTAGAAGCACAGCTCTTGCCGGGATGGTTTGTATTTTCTAGGGAGCCCAACTCCCAGTTTGGCATCCAGGTGTAATGGTCAGACCCGTGAATGCTTGGCTCTGCTGGACACCGCTGTTTTCAAGGCAATCCTGAACACATCGCAGAAATACTGTCTGGCACCTGACCTACTAAAAGCTGTCAGAAAATCAGAGGAATTGCAGCTGAGAAAAGCTGGCCGTCTGGTCCAGCACTAGGGATCAGCTCATGGTAGGGACCTCAGGTTTCAGAAGCTGAAGGTATCTGTACCCAAAAGTCAGCCGTCAGCTTGCATGTATGAAACAGAAGCAGATCTATGTGTCTCTTTATGACTTCGTGAAGCTTGCATCAGTTGCCTCAGATTCAGGCAGGACTGTTTGCTGGTGCACTAATAATATCACAGCCAAGGCAAAGCTTTTGTCTCTGCCAGAGGGTTTAATTAGTAGAGGAGCTTGGTGCTCAGGTTGCAGCTTGTCCGGACAATGTTAGGTTGGGGCGTAGAAGTGGTTTTTTGCACACAGGTTGCAACTTGGGATGCCGCTATAGGATCAACACACAAGTCAAAACTACAACTGATGTGAATACTGTTACCACTACCACCATTGTGGCTGAGGTGGGGACTGTAGCAGCTGGCCTTCCCATGATGTTTTCTGAGAGCCTACTTTTGTTTCCACAGAGATGACTCTATGGCTTCTGACCACCTGACTTCAGCTGTTTTTGTGTTAGGAAAGGAGTGGCTTTTCCCATTGACACTGAAGAGGCGTGTAGTTCAGCAAAAAGGAAACATTTAATGTTGTAATCATAAAGGAATGCTTACGGCCTTGTCTCACGGAGCAGGCAGTGGAAGACAGAGATGCCCTCTCCTACATCAGTTATCCAGGAGCCTCCTAAAATTCTACAGCTTTGAAACAGGTACGAAGATGTGTTCCGGGAATGCCTGCCCGTAGGGATACCTCTGTGGAGAGCAGTTTGGAGCAGACAGAAAACCAGCTTTCCCTTTTAAAGCACTAGCACAACAGACACTATTCTGCACTCCAAACAGGACATTACTCATTTTTCTACTCTTCCTCAGTGTGTGCAGAGGTAACTTTTTCCTGAATAGTGTAATTCAGACAAGTAATTAGGGGACTAATGAACATGGGAATGTAGATTTGGAACCAGGTGAACCAGGCGTTTCTGGAAGGAGTCTTCATCATGAGGATCTAAGTAAAGAAACAAGCCGAATATATAGCTTTATATCACCATAGCTTCTAAATGTGTTTAAGCAATGGCTCAGTTCTACGTAGGACATATATAAAAGTGTCCTCCACTGCAAGCATTTGCATGGTTGCAAAGTAGTTACTAGCTGCAAAGTAGTTACTATATACTATTCATATAGTTGAAGTTACTATATACTATTCATATAGGGTTGTTTTTAAAGCACTATAAAATCCAATTCTGATTCTTGCTTTTCTTATCAAACTTTTCTTTTTCCTGTCAGAAATGCCACTTAAATATGTAAAGAAGAACAAGTAAGCTTTCTGTTTCCCCGAAAAAGGGAAAAAACTGAAAGAGACAGTACCAACAGCTTCTGAAAACTGAATAGCTTCTGTAAAGTCAGAACCATCCGAGTGAGCAGAAAACAGCCTGACCAAAAACTCTGGCGTCAAGTCCTGCAGAGATGATCAAACTTCACCTCTGCAGAAGCAAGAAATTTCTGTCTAGATTTGGATGTCTCGGGTTCCCAGTGTTACAGCCAAGCAGCGGGGAGGAGGTCAGCGTCTCCCCTCTTTTCTAGATCCTTCAGCTTAATGTTGGTATGAACGTGAGTATTTGACTGACTTTAATAAGCTCCTGACCATTGTTAGCCTCTGTGGTTGTTCCACTACCCACTGAAAGCAGCCTTTTCCTCTGCAAATAAACTGATAAAGAGCGTTTCCGAGAGCGTGACTGCTGACAGCCCAGGCAGCAGAGGGAGATCTGCAGAGAAGCAGGAGTGCCTGCTTGACGGTTGTTTTCCGTGAGGTGTTCTGAGTTGCCAAACCAGAGTAAGAGTGCTAAGGTCTTGAGTTGTGTCGCTGATGATGTGAAGCCAGGGTACTTCAGAAGCTGTTGTGAACATGACGCTGTGACCTGCATGGCTGCTTTCCAGTCCTGTGTGCTTCTTCAGAGTTAGCTGGTTCCGTGTATGAAGCAAGGAGGTCCCTCCGGGGAGGGTGGTGCTCACCTCTGCCAGCTTACCCACCCTGCCGAGTGCCAGGAGCTGGGACACCAGTAGATGGGGTCCCAGCACAACCTTCCCAGCAGTCAGGGCCCGTGGACAACTGACTGGCGGGCAGGAGGCTCAAAGGGAGTCCACCTGCAGGGACCTGGGGAGAACCTTCTGGAGATGCGGGTGAGCCTGACCCTTAACAAGACGGGCTGCAGAAGAGCAAGACCTCGGGTGAGCCTCCCTGTGACTCACCTCGTGAGGCTGCAGCCCACAGAGCTCAGCTGGCCAGCAGACAGATGTTCTGGAGATGCAGGGACGACACGGTTTCTCCCTTTTTAGTAGAAGGTGGTATGAGGGAGAGGCCTCTTGCTTGAGTGGGGGTTAGTAATCCTTCAGTGTCTACCCCGAGAGCTACAGAGCTCACTGTGGGCTCAGTTTTTGTAGCTCAGATCTCCAGCATAGTTGGGAGACAAAAGTTGCTTTACTCCCGGAGAACTAAACTACCTTGTAGCTTTTCTTTGTCTCCTTTTCTCACTTTCAAGTTTGGAGGCTGGCTCAGCAACAGTGCTAACAATGCTCCTCGCATCAAGAGGAAGCTCAAAAGTGTGCCAGTGTGAGTTGCAGAATATGATTCTGCATTTGTGTGTTCCCTTAATGTTCCTGACTGATTAGCAGAAAATTATAAAAGGGAAAGCCCTGGATTTTGGATGAATAAATGCATTTAAATGCCAGGTCTGTGCATCTGGTGGGTTTCAGGTCTTCATGTCCTGAATCATCATGGATCAGATCTCGCAGCTGAAATGCAGCCATCACCTTTAAAGCCTTTGCAAGGTCCACTAATGCAATACAATGCAGTGTCTGTGAAACAGGACTCTGTAATCAGAAAGAAAATGAAAAGAGATATATGGGAAGACACTGCAGATTCTCATGCATCCGTGTGTAAATCTGTTATCTCTAATTACACTAAATCTTTGAAGCCTTGTGTTTTCGTGAATTGTGAGATAGCACTGATGCCACAGTCTTTCCAAGTATGGTTTGAGATCTCACAGCATCAAGTGCTTGGTCTCTTGACAAATGTTTTGGATAACTGTTGCATATTTTCCATGAGTCTTAGTAAAAGGCCGTTCACAGAAGACTGTCAGATCCCTATACGCCAACAGGAAGCGATTCTCTTAATGGTAAATACAGCAAATCTGTGACTATGGTAATAAAGGCAGTTTTGAAGTAGTCCCAGTATTAGACCCTTCTCAGTGTCCTCCAAGTCATTTGTTCTACATGGTCCATTCTTCCGAGACAGAGAAGAAACGCCACAGTCCTAATTTCTTTCCATCCACACATCATTGCTTAAGCTGCTTCAGATGACAGTGCAGAGAAGGAAAAAGGGTAACATTTTGTTCTGGGAGCACTATTTGATGATCAGAACTTGGTGAAGGCAGAATGTTAAAAATGGGAGAAATTGTCCACTGAAATTCTCCACGGTCGGTCAGCTGGGGGAGCATGAATAACTCAGTTCATAAGGAGAGGGAATGGAAAGTATAAGAGAAAGTCAAACAGCAGATTAAAAAGGGAAGTTTCTGGCACAAGAGAATTCATCTGAACAGCCTGATTTCCCTGACTTTGTGTAAGCTCCTAACAACCAGGCTGTCAGGTGTTCATGGCAGACCAGAGAAGCAGAATAGAAAAGCCAAATATGGCAAAATCTAATTTTTGTGAAGGTGGATGTTTGCTTTAAGAGTGTGTGTGTATACAAAAAAATTATAAATGTTTCAGTTTTAAATTAAAGGCATATAATTTTAAATTACAAACTTATAATTAACAAATATGAGTCAATGGCTAACTGCAACTTGTTAACTTTGCTGTGACTGTATTTCACAGGGTCTAGAGAGCAGGAGACATCCGAGAGACACGCACACGTTACACAGCATACACATGGCTTTAGTGAAGTAAATTGGTATCTTCGTTATCTGGCTTCACACTCTGGGGAGTAAAGTGGAAAAGCACCCATTTGGAAGTGTGTGAGCAACAGAAGGGAAGCACGTGTCATTCCACAGAGGTAAAAGTTTCTCAGATATGTGCTAGGCTAAGATACAAAAGATCTGGCTTTGGTTCTTGGCTCTGACTCAAGTCTTACTGTGTCATTGTGACCATAAAGTGGAAACTAAGTTCTCTGCCTCTAACAGAAACAGATTTCCACACACCCTACATCCACATTGCCTGTTTGTTATGCATTTCAAGCACGGTAACAAACATCACAAAGTCCTATCTAGCTAAGTCAGATCAGAGCTGCGACATGGTGAAAAGGCCTTAGGGGCGCTTTGCTGGAAATTAACTTTGGCTGATCTTCCCTCAACCTCCCACGACAATTCTGTGATGCCCCTACCACGAAGGACCCCTCTGGAGCCTTTTATTTTGGCTTACTCCGTGACTAGCCCTCACCTCTCCGTTTGCTCAAATCGCAGTCTTCCAGCTCTGACAGTTCCTATTTCATTAACTGTCTTTTTTCTTCCTCTCCAGGCTTGGACAAACTGTGCAGGTTTGGCAGCCAATGCCCCAGCGATACCTTGCAATCCGGGGAGGATGCATTGGAAGTGAAGGAATGAGGGCATGAGCAGAGCAGGCGTGCCCCCCTGCAGTAGCCATGTTACACCAAGCCTGGCAGCTCTACGGGAGGTGTTGCCGTTGGTCCAGTCCTTTTATCCATCTCCTCACACTGACTGTGGTGACATTTGGCGTGCTCGCCCCTTTGATTTGCCACCGGCTCCTCCACTCTTACTTCTATTTGCGGCGCTGGCACCTGAACCCCATGAGCCAGGAGTTCCTGGAGCAGAACCAGCAGGAGGGCCAAGCTGCCCTCCATTACTTCGAGAAGCTGCAGGTACCAAACACCTCCGAGGCCTCTGGCAGTGATGCCTTCCAGCCCTTGCTGCTGGTCACCATTATCACTGTGCAGAGGCGGAATGATTTCCACTATGTCTTGCAAGTGGCCTCCCGCTTCCACCGCCTCCTCCAGAAATGTGGTGCACGTTGCCGGAGCCACCGCATCCTCCTCTGTAATGTGGAGTCAGACCCCAGAAGCCATCAGGATGTCAAGCTGCTGAGCAGCTTCTTTCCTATGGTCAGTCGTGACAAAACTGGGGAGAGCCCTGACCCCAGAGTGAACCAGTTTGAGAAGGAGAAGCAGGACTATGTCTTCTGCCTCGAGCAGTCGCTGTTGGCATACAACCCAGAGTACATCCTCATAGTGGAAGATGATGCTGTGCCGGAGGAGGAGATATTCGCTGTCTTGCAACACCTCCTGTTGGCCCGGTTCTCCAAACCATACCTCAGAGACGCACTCTACTTCAAGCTCTACCATCCCGAGAGGCTTCAGCGCTACTTCAACCCCGAACCCATGAGGATCCTCGAGTGGCTGGGTCTAGGCATGTTCCTGGGGCCCGTGCTGAACTGGGTGTACTCCTGGGCAACTGGGCGCCCCAGCCTCACTTGGCCCGTTGTCTTGTTCTTTGCTTTGTACAGCATGGCCCTGTCAGAGCTGGTGGGACGGCATTACATGCTGGAGCTGCGCCGGCTGGCCCCCACGCTGTATAACATCGTGCCAGTCACCGAGTGCTGCACGCCTGCCATGCTCTTCTCCGCTCCTTCTGCCCGCCGTGCCTTAGGTTACCTGAAGGGGCTGCAGTGCCGCCAGGGTTTTGCTAAGGATATTGCCCTCTACTCGCTGCTGCATGCGAAGAGGGAGAACGCCTACGTGGTGGAACCCAACCTGGTCCGGCACGTGGGAATGTATTCCAGCCTTCGGCTAAACGATAACCCGAAACTGCTGTGATCTGCTCATGCCTTTCCAGACAGAAAGCCCAGAGAACTTGCCGCTGGGCAGAGAGACAGTGTGCAAACTCAGATGTTGTGCTGCTCACACTGGGCGTCTGGTGCCTCCAGGTGCAAAAAGAATAACTCTCTTTAAAACAACATTTTATTAAAAAATAAACTTGTGTACATGCAGACCCTATTTAATATATATTTGGAACTAATCACCATGCACCATGTGGGAGGAGAGTGGAGGATTCCAGCTGAGGGTTGTGTGTTGTCGACTCTCCATAGTCATTCTTAGGGAAGAGCTCTCACACCAATATAAACAGCTATACTGCCTGCTCTCCTTTACATTGGTTACAGAAATCCTCATCTCATGGCAACAGAAATGTTGGACAAAGTGAATGTTTCAAATTTAAGCTAGTGAGGGGGAAAAGCCCTTATTTTCCCACCCTTACTAAGGTCTGATGTCTGACCTCTCTCTGTTTCAAAGCTGTGGTTTTAAGCATACCTTTCAAAAGCAGCAGTAATTGATGTGAACTTTCCCACAAATTTCACCTAGATTCCTCAGATTTCACTAAGCCTCTAATTGTTGCTGTCTCTCCCAACAAATCCTATCTGCACCTCCACCCTTCCTACTCCTTTTTTGTGGAACAGAGCCAAAAACAAAGCCTCCACTGCTTTGTTAAAAGTCATCTCTGAAGGTGGGGACAGAGAAATCTAAGAACAGGCACTGGTGAGGCACATTTTCATTGCTGCGTTATAGACATTATAAACAGCGTTATAGACATTATAAACATGACTGCTGTGTTGGTTGGTATCTTCACTAGCTGTAGCGGATCCAGGTTGTTAAAAGAGGCCTTACCAGCTGCTCATTGGACATTCAACATGAATTTACCTTGACTTCCTATCAGCACAGAGGCAAAGGAAAGGTTAGATGAGGTGCTGCTGTCGAGCAGGATCCTTGTTTCGGTTTGGAGCTGTAATTCACAGCTCAGCCTAAGGGGTTCATTCACTGCTCCTGGCAGCAAGCAAAATACTCGTAGGAAACAAAGCTGGCTGTTCATAAAAACAAGCAACCATAGCAATACATCGAGGGGCCACTCCAATACTGGTCCGTTAACTTAATGTGCTCTGGTTTTAGGTGTTTGGGATAGGTACTTTGTACCACAGCTGTGGGCACAGTTAAATATAAAACCATGCAGATGGCAGAGATCTTATGCAGACTCATAACTCGCACCAAAATGTTTGTGTAGTGAAACGCCTACCTTGACTTTAGTGGGTTTTGAATCAAATTCACTTACATGTGGAGTCTGGTTGAACTGTTTTTGAAACCATATTCCTAGCTTTGAAATGAACCAGGTACAATATTTTTGTTGAGTTTTGGTCAGTGGGGTTTGTTTGGGTTTTTTTTGTTTTGGTGCAGGAAGAGCTCTACTTAGAATTTTCTTTCCCCCCGTGTCTTCCAGTTGATCTATGCCTTAAGCTCTTAAAAAGTCCAGTTGTAAATGTGAAAGACATAAAACTCCTGAGAAGTGAAACCAAAGAAAGTTGCAAACCTTCAGCTGTCAGCACATCATGGGGATCAGTTACACAACACAAATGCATAAGGCAAGTTAGCCGATCAGAAATGGCTTCACAACACAAGATCAGTGCTTTGCTCTCTTAGTGATCAGCTGAGATACTTTTCCAACACCTTGGGAAATTGGATGTGAGTGAAAACTCATTTGTGGATTCCATGTCATTCCAAAGGCAAAGCACCTCTCCTGTCAGAGGACACAGGAACAATTGCACAGGCAGAACCACGATTTATTCCCAGCTGCTGAAAACCCCAAAGATACCAGAGTGGTCACACAGTGGCAGGTGGGAAACCTATTCTCAGGCTTTACTATGATGCGGTTAAGATGGCCGGATTTGAGTGCCGGTTTGTATTTATTCCACGAAGTGCCTGCGCGTGTGAGGAAATACAGCTCATTCGTTTATGCATCTTCAGCTGCGTGTGTTTTGGTGCGGTGTGCTTTCTCTTCACGCTTTTTCAGTCATTGTACTGTAAAAATCCAGGACAGTGCCCTTTTCTTTTCATGAGGGTCCATCCATAGTCATTCTTGCAGAGCAAATCTCATAGCAAGCTACAACAAGTGAGACAGGGAAAGGAAAAACAAGGGAGGAAAAGAAAGAAGGAAACCTTAGAAAAGAAACTAACTAGCTATACACAGTTAAGAAGTGTTTTGATGTGGGAAATTATTTATCAATTTGTCTCAAAGTTATTTTCTTTGCCCAGTAGTACTTTATTTGTCATCCTGGAAGTCCAGGGGAGGTCAATAATTTCACTGAGCTTCATAGCTGAAAATTAAGAACATGAGTTTGAGGCATCCCTTCTAAACTAGAAGACAATTTTCAGGGCAGAAGAAATGAGAGAAGTTGGCTAGTAGACCAAACAACATGCAGAGGTCCCACAACTTGAACCTGCCGGTGAGAGATTTTCAGATAAACCCACTGAGACAAGAACTCCTTTGTGCTAGGAGCAGGTTAATAAATTCCTCAGGTCTTTCTGGAATAAATTCTTTAAGTGCCCAATCCACCTTTACAACAGAGATGGTGCTTCTACTGAGCCTGGAGGCTATTTCTGGGTTACTTAGGTACTTGGCTCCCAGCCGACCATGCCAATGTGCCATCTCAGGCAAGCATTCCTTCTGCCGCCCCTGAAATTTCACAAGTAGATTGATTTTTGTTTCTGTTTTCCGTGCCACGTGTTTTATTAGAAATGACAGGTTGGAGAAGTGTACTTTGCCCTTGGAACAGAAAATGGGTGATTACTGTGAGTTCTTAATCCTGTTCGATTTTGTTCCACAGTTCAGGCTAAAAAAACAGTTTCGAACACACAAAGCTTTTCCCTCTCCTTTCTGTTGGGGAGCGGAGCTGAGTTACCGTATTTCAGGCTACATAAATGGAAGGCCTAACATTAACTCCTTGAAACGTGGCCTTAAGAGTTTGGTTTTATTCACATTAAAACCAATTTAGTGACTATTGTTGAAACAAACAATATGGATTTTCTTGGGTGTCGGTTCATTCCCAATAGTTTGGAGCCCATTCTTCAATGGAGCCACTACTGTTTGCACAAGAGGATTCTTTCTTGATGGGCCAGACAGCAGGACTCAAGGTGTTATTGTCCAAGACAATTCAGGGGAAGTTACTCAAACAAAAACTACCTTTGTTTCCAAGGCATGTCCAGCATAAGCATGATTCTGGCAGAACACAAAGCGTAAATTGATAGGCCTCAATTAGATTAGATTAGAAGCCCGAGAGGATTTTATTACTGCAGTAGGTGGCAATGTCTGAGTGAGAAGCCACTGCATTTGAAGAGAAGGAAAAAGCCTTCCTCTCTGTTGTGCAGAGCTGTGAATCGCCAGACTGGGTATTTCAGCAGCAGTTTGGCTGGGTGCAGGGTGAATTACTTTTTCCCTGAAGATATACAAGCAAACTTTCTACCAAATAAACAACCTTTTTATTAAAGCTCTGTTGTCTCTTCTTTTTTAATGCGCCTGTTTTCTTGACTGGCAGATCCATCTCTTCCATAACTGTATTTGACTAAGAAAGATACACCTGTGCGCATCTGCATACATCTGCGTGGATGTAATATTTGCATCCTACAACAATTCAGGTTGAAAAGGACCTCTGAAGGTCCCTGGTCCTGTTCCCTACTCAGGCAGGTCTTATCAGACCAGGTTGCTCAGGTCCTTCTCCAGTCAAGCACTAAGGCATTTTCATAGGGACCTGACATAAAATCAGGCTCTAAGGGCTTGAATTTAATCTTAGTATACTTTTGTATAAAAAAGCTATATATTTCACAGACTAAAAGAGTGATTTTCTGTGGGAGACAGTTGTAGTTACAAAGGCACTGGCAGTTTCTCCCCCGAAGTTAGAGTTTCTTTTTGTGTATTTCCACACCAGCTTTATAGACATCATATCCAGATTCAGCAGATGGCAAAGCCCAACATATGGTTCTGAATAATCCCCAGTAAAACATACATCTGCCAAAAATGCATATATAGAATTAGGTACTAAATGGTCTGTGCTTCTTCACTGCATGTGTCTCTGTTGCTAGAGTAACTTCGTTTCCACAAACTATCTGTCCTGACGTCTCATTCTTTGAGAGAATCCACCCCATCAGCCAGTTTACTCGTGCACCTATAGACGAAGAGCAGCACTAATGTCCATTTCCAAGACTGTTCTGCGTGGCAAGCTGTGAATGCCACATGCCCAGCTGTGTAATCACAGGTTATTTTTAAATGTCGATGAAGAAATACAGTGTTACATTTTCTTGCCCTGTTAGTAAGCCTCTGGCCAGCTATGCATTCTTCAGTGCCTGCTTTCTCTTTCAATTTCTGCCATGGTGTCAGGTGTTCCTCCAGCAGTGCAGAAACCACATCTACAATGGTCTTTTCCGAAAACTGGACCACTTCAGACATCTGTTGTAGTTCGTATTTTGCAAATTGTATGCCAACGTTAACATGCAGCACCAAAGTGTGCTTTTTGGGGGGAACTACATGCTGCTTAGATAAACAGGTAATAAACACTTAGGTGTCTCCCATTATAGCAGCCGGTTGTTTGCCTACTTGCTTTTTTCAAACCAAAATGTCAACAGAAAGGCACAGAGACCAGTGTCATTACTGCATTTATCTTCATGTCCTGTTACAGCTGTTTTGCATAGCCCAGAAATGTTGCCACTGGCAGCCAGATTTGAAGTTGTGTCCTTGTCTGCTATCCCCGCTATTGAAATTATTACAAAGATTTGGATTTTGATAACAGTAATGTTATGTGCTTGTCTGTTTTCCAGTCCAAGTCATGGTGTATGTTGCAGCCCAGCTTTAAGGCGCAAAGAACGAAGAGCAAGCAAACCCTGGCTGTGCAGTCCCCTGAGTGCTCCTTGTGGGCCTGAGTCTGTTCTGCCCAGCACCCTCCATGCCCTGCCAGATGCACGTGTCTGCAGGCACAGCTGTGGAGTCAGAAACACAGGTG